TAGATAGATAGATAGATAGATAGATAGATAGATAGATAGATAGATAGATAGATAGATAGATAGATAGATAGATAGATAGATAGATAGATAGATAGATAGATAGATAGATCTCATTGCAGCTGAACTTGCAATTATATCTAATCTTGCCATGACTCCCACTGGTGTCCAGTAGACTTGGTGACTACATATGGTTACCAACCCAGGTTTTTAAGCACTGGGCATCACCATGAGGAAGAAACCAAGCATGAAATCAACATTTGCTATCTCTGACAAGCTAAGCTATTCACCAGTAAATTACAGCTTGGTTGATCTGACGTAGATGAAATGTATGGCACCATTCAAAGGGGCTTTTACATACAGTGACACAGCAGAATTACCACAACCTCATTACTCAAATTACTACTGTTCCCATGAACCTACTTCCCAGTGCGTCTTTCACAAAGTACTCTCCCGTCTCTCTCATTTCTTTTTAATCTCTTCTTGAAGACTTTGATGCTAAAACCAGCCTGGTCAATACTGGTCTCTCTCTCTCATCTTTCATCTCCTGATGTTCAGCACTCAGACGTGTCACTTCTTTTCTCCACACCCACTCGTGCCCGTCTCTCTGGTCCTATTTCTTCTCTCTTTTGGCAACTAGGTCATGAGAATGAGAGCAAAAGCAAACACTAGCAATCAATTAGATCGTGAGTGAAGGACATGCAGGTAGCATGAATTTAATTAAAGGATCTGAATTATTATTATTTTCTGTCTTAATGTATTTTAAAAGGAGGATATTAGAACAGAAAAATGAAATTCACTAACCTAGAAACAGTTTCTACTAATGTTTCTTCCTGAATCCTGTCTGGATCAGCTACTAGTTTGCATGTTGTATTCTCAGCTCCGTTTTCAGCTCAGGAAATGGAAAGTCTGATGACTTCTACTATTTTGGCTTATACATTCAAATGTGGTATTAGTCTGTCAGACATGTCTCCTCTACTGATCTGTCTGTCTGTGGGTTTATTTGTCCCACACTTCTGCCCTCTCTGCATCTATCTGTCCTACTGTCTGTTCCTCTGTCTGACACTATTGATCAGCTGACCCACCCACTGACAGCAATCTCTCTCTCTGTTATAAATCTCTAAGGTGACAGGGGCAGGATAGCTGTGTGCATAGATAAGGCCTTGTTTGGCTTTTGCTGAGAATGCACAATATGTGATGAATAGAAAGGAGGAAGGAGAGAGGAGAAGGGCACCTACAAGGAGAAATAAAAAGAGTCTCGAGGTGAGAATCTGATTAGGTATTCAAGTACCTGAAAACTAGGCGAAAAATATACATTAAAGACTCTTTGTCAGGATGTAAAAAGAGAAGCCCTAGGCACTATATGACAACACATCAATGACAAAATGATGTATAATAATCAGTATTAAGAAAAATCCGCTGTCTTAAACTGAAATTTGGATTTTTTTGAAATAAGCATTTTTGAGTTTGATTCAGAAATGGAGGTTTAAGCTTAAGGGTCTAGAAATGGAGTGGTGGTGAGAGTAAAGCTATTTCTCTTTTTTATTAGACTCTCAGTTATGTGTTAATAGGTGCTTTTGTCCCCGATAACTTGTTCCCTTACCTGCTTGCATTCGCAATCACTGCCAGCTGGAACTCTGAAGTGGCGTAAGCCATCACTTACAGTAAGTCCTACAGCTCGTGTTGTTGTGCGGGACTTTAATTTTGATGGTGGGCGGACTTTTAATTTGACGCCGCTGAGAACGGCTTAGCCAGAGTCTGAGCAGTGCTCACATTACCAGGTTCCTCCGATGCGAAAGCCCATAGGCAAAGACCCTTAACACAAAAATACTGACTATATTCAAAATATCAACCAGAGGAGAGAGGGATGTGCTGTTTATCATGTGCTGATATCTGTCAGGTGTTTTGCAGGATGCAGAAGATGAGGACAAAAGGAACTCAGTGTAGATGCTTTATTTACAAATTTAACTTACAGAGATGAAGGGAAACATTCCAGGACTTATGTTCACACAACCTAAACATCGACGGACAAAGACTAACTGAACTGAAGGAAACTAAATACAGATACAAATGAACAATAATGAGGTGAGGACAGGTGACACAGATGATCATGACGAGAAACAGGTGGCTAGTGAGGAAGTGAGTTCAGGTGAGGAGACCATCGGGATCCTGGGAAGTGTAGTGATGACAAAGACAGACTGGTGGAGACGATGACTGTGACAATATCATTGATGTTCAATAATTTGATGTAAAAACATAATTCAAGAAAAATCTGTCTGAATCAAAGAGAAATATCAAAAGGCCTGATTGGTCGAGAGGGCGCACTGGGATGGTGGAGGGTAATTAGCTCCTGAGCAATGTGAAAAAGCTGATTATACAGAATGATTATTTTTTCCAAGGAGGAGTTTTACTGAAGTGTATTTGTTTCAGCATGCTATGGGAAGGGAATTTTCGATATTGATAGATATCAAAGATGAGTACTCAAATTATAATGTTCTAACATACAAATATGTCTATTAAAATATGAACATATGACTAGAAAAAGAACACTGCTAGATTACCTATAATGCATGTTTTTGAACAAGAAACCTCTAAAATAAATATTTGCATGAGATGAAGCTGAAGAGTGAATGAACACCAGTAAACTGAAGCCAGTTCTATATGACGCATATGAGATTAATCAGATATGCTACAACATAAATGTAACATTACAAATTTGAATCTGCACCAAAGGACCCAAATGCAAGTGAACTTGAATTAAGTTAAGTGTTTGCCAGTGTTACTTCAGTTGTGGGTGTGCTCTTCCCATAAACACAAGTAACTAAAGCATAAAGAATTCATATTATAGTGTTCTTATTATAATGTCATAGCACTGCACAACTTCCACTTAACTGTATTTTCATTTACTTTATCAAGTGATTCCAGACATCCCTGCATGTTTTCAAAGCTATGACGAAAAATATTTTTTATTAAAACATAGCCTTGCTGTTAAAAAAATATGATTAGAAAAAATAACCCTGCTGGGTTATTAGTAATATCAATGTGTTTGAAAAAGACACATCTAAAAGGAATATGACTGTTGTCAAAATAAAATCATAGTTAATAATGTTTTGCATTGCCGTTGAGCTGATGCTAAAATGTTGAACACCGGTAAACTGAAGCTCTTTGCTAGCGGGTTAATAAACTCAACTTAACATTTCCTAAATTGGGGCCAGCTGAGAGCCAGTGTCTGTCCAAGGGTTGTCCGCTCAGATGGAATAACATAACTGGCAGAAGGAGGACTCCGGAGAGGCAAACATATGTTACTGTGCGGCCCCGAGAAAGTCCCTGCCCAGCCGGACCGCCAGGGGAAGCTTCTGACTCCAAGGAGGAGGTGACGGGCGAGTTGTGAGATGCGAGGGAAGCATAGTGCAGACCAGTACCAGCTCGCTGAGCAACGATGGCTCAAAGTGAGCGGAACTGCAACAACTCGAGGCACAGATGCCAATGCAGTCGGAGGTCGCCCCATTAAAGCCCTTTGTACATGGCCGCTCAGATGGTGATACTGGACTCGTTCATTGGAGCAGGTTGGCCCGGAGAAACGAAAGGTCTGATCACACACTGAGGGTTTGGCGGCCGGCAGTGGTGATATGTTGTCACACACGGCGTGCCCCTCTGCCACAGTCACCTTAGGACTTGATCATGAAGCTAGTGCTGAAGTGGTCTTCACATGGAAGAAGCCAAGCAGATCTGCCATATACCCCAGGAGCCTCTGAAAGTTCTTTCAGTGGGACCCTTTCTCACTTCTAATAACACCAGACGAACACACTCTTACTTGAAGAGACATGTTGGACCGAGTCAGCCCGTAGGCGAGAATACTCTCTCCCAGTTGACCTGAAGACTCATCTGGCTATGGAGCACTCGAAGGGTAGGATCTTGCACTGATACTTTGCACGTTCTAATGCAAGAACACAGAATGATCTGCAGAGCGGAGGGATCGAGATCTGAAGTACCGTCCTTCAGGTCGAACGCTGCAGGCCATCTAAGGGACGGAGCATTTTGAAATGCATCTGTTAGCAACTGAACGGAGGCTTTTGAAAAAGGGTCCGTTTCAGTTGACACAACATAAAGACAAAAAAGCTGATGACGTATATTTCGGGTGCCCTTTTATACTTCTGGGCGCTCCGCTAATGACATCATAGATTATGTGAACTGAGCGTTTTCACTTGTGCTACAGACACCGATTACACTGATGACATCCCCTTAGCATCTATCTAACAAACTCACAAATATTCACACATAAACATCATGTTTCATTCTGTTTCTGAGATATGTGGTGTCTGAAGCAGTGTGAGAAGAGTTTGAACAAGTCTGCTCAACAGTGTTCGAGTCTGTCAGAGATGCTTTGTATTGAGGCAGATACAGGAAAAGATGGCTGCTTAAAAACACATCTTCATAATAGACCAGAATCCCACAAAGTAAAGGGCACTTACAGAGATGACTCGCCACTTTCCACACAGTGGGAGACAAAGAGAGATTGAATGATTGTCAAAAACCACACAGTGTGTGTGTGTGTGTGGACAGTATGCATGTGGAAGCAAGGATGTGCGTCAACAGATAGTTGGGCTAATTGATCTATCATTACGAGAGCTTACACACCTCTGCCACTCAGCCATCTCCTTCGTTCTCTCTCTCTGTTCATGTTTGTGCTTCAGCACATTTCCAGTTAATACCTGTTATTATTGCACAGCTGAGCCCTCAAAATCCTGTGAGCGAATCCACTGACTGGAGGGTACAAAATAACTAAAAGGTCGCACAAATGTGTGTGTTCATGTGTATTTTGAATGCTTTTGTGTGTTTGCTTAAGTGTGAAGCAAAACATTCTCCATTTTTTAGAGCACTTGACTTGATGGCACAAGAGTATTTGAATCAGGAAAACCTGTCTACTGTATACTGCAATGAAACAAGCCTCTCTCTCTCTCTCTCTCTCTCTCTCTCTCTCTCTCTCTGTGTGTGTTTCTCAGAGAAGTGGAAGGTGATTTGGAGGTGGTTTGGGAGGCAGCGACCAGAGAGAGTCAGCGCTTGAGAGAGGTGGTGTTGAGGAGCAGTACACTAAGTCCAGCCACCATGGCTCCTGCCCTACGCAGCACTTCCGGCAAGTCTCCTGCCAGGATCCCCCGTATAGAGGATCATTTGCTCTGCTCACTGCCCCCTCCCTTCACTTCCAGACAGAGTCGTCTGCCACATAATTTACAGTGCAGCCCCATGTATGACTCCGATTCTGACCTGCACCAGAATCCGTCATCTGATGAGAGTGACAAGAGCGGACAGGATTCCTAATAATTCCGTATTCTCCTTAAGTGTTTTGCGTTTACCTGAATGCTCAATGTGCTTTCATTTAAAATACATAAGGCCACTAAATGCACAACCATTCTTTCTGTTAACTTTGATAAATGTGCTTTGATGTTTTTTCCCAGCATATAGTATATGTATCACAGTGTTCTTGATTGTCAATAATGATTATCCTGTAGATGGAGCACTTATTGAGCTACTGAGCTAAATTCAGAAAGCATTTGTGACAGAGCAGTTCCAGCAGTGGATGCACAGGAAATTCTGTTCACAAGACACTTGATTAAGGATTGAGCAACAGAAATCTCATTCTCTCTCTAGAAAAAAGGCTTTGCACAAAAGTTTGCCCTGTCTAAGGTGGGCCCTCATAATTTTCTATGATAAGGATGAAGTACGGTATACAATAATATAATTAGTATCTCTGTTTGTTGATTTTTTTTTCCTCGTGACCCGCAGTGAGATCAAGTCTCTACTATTCCAAATTACTAAAACAGTACATTTTCTTGGTAACTCCATTTTATTATGCATATACTGCCTCATCAGTAAACATAGTAAGGTTTTACCATGAAATCAAAATTTCCAATTCTTATTTTTATGGAATATTTTAGTTTATTGTTATTATTGTAAATTATTAATCTGTGCACATTACTTTTTTAAATGCATGTGCCCCTACCATTGACGGAATTTTTCTCCTTTCCATGTTTTAACTTGTACTGTTAGGGTGCTATTAAAGGTGCAATGTGGGATTTTTAGCGACATCTAGCGGTTCGGTTGCGAGTTTGCACCAGGTTTGCACTAAGGGTTTAGCCCACTGCTCACCCCTCCCTTTCGAAGAAGCTACGGTTGCTAAAACGGGACAAACATCTTGTCGGCTGAGACAGCAGAGAATAGCCAGAGTAAGCCAAGAGTGTGTAACATTTTCACTTTTTCTGTACCACAGTCCATTATAAACCACATTATGGATAAAGTTTACAAAGCCATAGTCAGGTGAGGATCAAGGGTTTTAATATATAATTTAATATAATAATAGTAATCAGCTGATTGTCTCACAAACGTAACCAGCAGCACATTTCTCCCCACATAGCAAACCCATAATACAGCGAGGGAGCAGCTATATATTTTTTATATATAGTTTAGCTGGCTATGAGCTGTTACTGTGGCAGTATGTGAGCGGAGTGGAGCGGCAACAATTTCCCCTCCACGCTCCAAGCATTATATAATCACTCCGCTCCAGCTCCGCTCCGGGTTCACCATTTACCGCTCCCGCTCCACTCCTCGCTCACTGATATCAGAAACACCGCTCCGGGTTCGCTCCCCAAGGAAATTCCGTATTCCGTAAAAGTATTTAAGTATGCTTTAAAATCTCACAAAATGTCTCCTCATCATAATAGATACATAGGCATAGTAAATAAATAAAAAAAAACAACGTTAGGAGAATAGTTGCAATGTTGTTTATTGGATTTGGATAGTGTGCAAACTTTTCCTATGACATGCTTATTACAGGTTATCAGCATTATAAATTAAATATCATTGCTGCTTTTTGCAGAGCACATTTTGTTTGGAAAGAAGAAAATAACTACGTTTTCATCAGTTATTTATCTACGGGTCGCTACATTTCTCACAGATTCATGCTCATTTAAAATCAAATACTGACAGATAGCCGAATGTATGATTACATTTGTTTGAATGCAATGCATTAGTGTCGTAACAGCACATCTATCCCCACATAACAAACCCATAACACAGCGAGGGAGAACTAAGTTACATAAAAAAATCCCAACTACATATTTTACACCACTCACAAGGGAAAAGTCACTACTCTCACGGAGTGTAAGGCTAGCTTCCAGCTTTCCGCTTGTTCTGACATTCCATCCTACCCGTCAGATTGTCCTACCAAGGCTTACTGCGCATGCGCACATCAATAATACGTCATTTTTTGTCATGCTGAACAACACGCCCATAATATTTTACTACTTGCGCGAGATCTTATTCATCTGAGGTAAGTTTTTCACTATTTTTGTCAATTATTACTATACAAAGCTATATAGCAGTAATGAGAACTGTTTACTCTCACATTCATACAAAGCAAATTCATATTAGCATTTTTTTCATAAAAACATTAACGTAAAATCATTCTACTCGTTTATTTCATACTGGTAGGACAATCTGATGAGGCATTTTGCACTGTAAAATCATACTACTCGTTTATTTCATACTGGTAGCACAATCTGATGAGGTATTTTGCAACGTAAAATCATCCTATCGTTAAATTCATAGGACAATCTGAAGAGGTAACGTTACTTTGCACTGTAAAATCACCGTAACATGGCCTAATAAGAAAATTCGGCAAAGTTACACAGAAATATTTTATGTAACTTAGTCACAGACGCGAAGCAGAAACGCTCAGTAGGATTTTACGACGAGGTAGGATGAACCGATAGATATGGCTATAATTTTGCGCTACGGTAGGAAAATCTGACAAGGTAGGACAAATCGACAGAACACCGCTACTTCTCTTTCAAGGTAGTGATGAAACGCGTTCTGTAGCGCTGTTTGTTCACGTTCGGCTACGGTAGAAATATGACGTCACAATATAATATGGCGACCTTCGGAGAAGGGGATTCCCGCGGTTATGGAGCTGTTATGTCTCATCATTCTAAGGTAATAAAAACATTACGGTTAATTAAGTAAGTTCTTTATACACCACTGAAAACATAGTTATGAATGTCATATTGGATTTCTGTTAATAGATACTCAACTTTTTTACACATTGCACCTAAGCAACTTCTGATTTAGTTTAAAAAAGGGCAGAAACAAGCGATAAACGCTTTGCTTAGGGGCGGTGGTATTTAAATGGTGGACCACGGTCCGGTTCCGGTGTTGTGCCGAATTTCGACCCCCGCCAAATTATTACCCCCCTAGGTAGGTTTAGGATTAGTTGTGGGGGAGGGGTTAAGATTAGGGGCGGGGTTGGGATTAGGCAATCAGGTACTGACTTCAACGAGGGGAGTAATAATTTGGCAGGGGGTCGAAATTAGGCACAACACCGGGACCCCGGATTAGTTCCTTTCGAAGTGATCAGCGCGTCAAAACAACAGACCACAAGTACTCAGGGTTGTTTATGGTAATGATCTTTCGGCGCTATATTCTCTAATATTTTTATCTAGAGCCAAACGCGCTTCATTCAAGCCCTTTCCAATCCATGCACATTCTCTCTCCTGCTAAAGACATAAAGCACCACATTAAAGGCTGCAGAAGGCATGGTTATTTTAACAACGAGAATGCAGTAAATACAATTATTTTATGTCATGCACTCCGACTGTTTGTTAGACTTTTTTTCATACATTTAGAGTTATTAAAAAGCATATCATAATAAATTTAAAAAAATATTTAGAGATGGCAAACAATATGAAATTATTTGTTAAATTTGTTTTGTGCTCTTGGTGAGAGTTTTCATTATTAGATTGTTTGTTTTAGTAGTTTATTAGAGCAAAATATAAAAATGTTCCATATGTTTCTTCTTACGTGTCTGATGGCTCTCTATGTACCATACGCATAGGTGTTTAAATGTAAAATAAATAAATAATAGTCTGATAAAACAATCTGATCTTAGATTCAAATCCAGTTGGGAGAAATATTTACTTTTTTCGTCAATATTGGTAAAAATTCTTAGACATCACTCCTTTGGCTCATGTGATTTTTGGCTCACACAACGACATGACAGGCTCTGAAGAGATCAGCACCGCCACCTACACGAGTGTGTGACAATAATGCCTTATGGGATTATTATGGGAATCCCTACCCTTCAGTAACCTGCCATTGACTTGAAATCACAATTGGGAAAAACAATATTACGATCAATTCTCAATGGACAAAATCATGTCCTGGCCTACAAATTTTTTTCATCCTTTTAACTCATGCGTAATTCACAAAACGGGGGAAAAATATCACAATTTCCACATCATGCTGATTTAAATATATAAACCTTTTTAATTTAAAGCATTTTTGCTAGTAGAGTGAAAGTGAAAAATAAATCAATATTTTTTTTTCTTGTTCCCTGGAGGGTTTTTTTTTTATTTTTATTTTTTTAAGCAGCTTCTATAAAACACTGATGTGAAGCTCTTCTGAGGAGATAAATCTTAATCCCATTGATAAGCGATGAGGTCTAAAGCCAAATCAGCTGTGGTCAGGACAAAACTAGTGAGACAGCAATAAAACCAGACAGTGACGCTATACACCTCATCGATTTTTTTTTTTTAAGTGCCTGTCTGACTGTTGCAGCATAATTAGGACAGTCCAATAGTTATTCTCTCCATAATAGCACTGCACTATTTTAGAGCAAAATTATAACCCAGCCATCTCTATGCCCAAAACAAACCTCATTCAATCAGGGCGAGCAGAAATAGAGCACTACTGGTTAGAAGACTCTAAATTACCTAGATGAGCAGTTGTGTAGTATTTCAAATAGTCAACTGTTTATTGATTAATTGCTGTGTGCTTTAGTGGTTACATCTTAGTTTTGTTGATGTTTACTCATTGGAGCATGTTTGTTATAATACTGTATACAGTAGCCTATGTATGACTGCAGTAGAATTTTGTTTGTCACATATGTATTTTTAAGAACAAATATCTTTCTGATAGTGTGAACCCCATGAACTGGAGAGATAAAACAGACCTGAAGTGCTTTATATGTTATAAATCAGGAATCTATTTTTTTTTTTTAGGATGAAATTTAGGACTTATGAGTATGTGAAGTAGCCTATAACTCTGGTCACTTGTTCCACTCAGCGGACTGTAGTTCTGACACCTGAGAAAAATGAGGAGGACATCTCATGCCGTCGCTGAGCCTCAAATTCCCTCACAACCAGTGAGCAAAAAACATACTGTACACCTCTCTGGTGTCTTATTCTCCCCCTATTCTGTATCTGTCCATAGTACTCAATCTTTCACTTTTCTAGAGGGACATTAGTCATCAGTTTTGAGAATTAAAAAACAAAACATCCTAAGTTAAAGGCTTTTCACTTGCATCCCTAGAATTCATCATTAACTTTTACTTCTTGGATTCCAAAATGAGGAATACAACAGTACAAATAAAATAATACATATTAGAATGACAGAATTGGGTCCGGTCTAAACTGATGTTGGCCTGTTTCATTATAGAAGATACGAAAAGTAGTGCTGCCATCTGCTGGACATTGTTATTATATATTAATTAAACAAATGTCTAAAAGCTAGAG